GGCAGTCAGAGGGCCAATAACTAAAATCAACCAATCAAAATGTTGTATTCCCGGTCAAATATTCTCTAAGTATTGGACCAGGCACTGTCCCAAATGGTCCCGAATGATACCGCACTTGTGTCCCTTTGAACTTCAGTCGTATAATAAATCTCTTATTAACCAAGCTTGCTCAGGACTGTACTGGAAGAATATCAGCCCTCGGTCTTTTGTGTACGGACCGAGCGCAGCGAGGTCTGTACTGTCAAGACCTCAGGCTGATATTCTCCCAGTACAGCCCTCGCGCTTGGTTAATAAGATACATGTCATGCTCACTCGATGCTCTACCTGCTAATATTGTGTGGAAGTGTTACCTGACATTGGTGCCTGCTCTGTCAGAAGAATATCATTAACCTATCACTTTCTACTGGTGAGATGCTGCGGGATCTCAAGACTGCTCTGGTGAAACCTTTGTTAAAGAAATCTAATTCTGACTCTGGGGATTTCGTTAATTTTCGTCCTGTGTCCAATCTGAAATTTGTTTCCAAGCTAATTGAAAAAGCTGTGTTTTTACAACTTAACACATATCTTACTACGTACCAATGCACTACACGAACCTCTGCAGTCTGCATATAAGACTCTGCATATAAGACTCTGCATAGCAGCTTTGAAAGTACACAATGACATCATGTTATCTCTTGATAAAGGCAAGAATGTGATCCTGATTCTCCTGGACCTGTCTGCTGCGTTTGACACTGTAAACCACACCTTTTTGTTGGCGAGACTTGAAAAACGTTTTGGTATTAAAGGCATGACTGTAAGTTCTGAATTGGTTCAGTTCATACCTCTGTGAACGCACTCATTTTGTTGACATTGACCAATCTCAGTCCTCTGTGTGCGACCTGTTAGTTGGTGTTCCTCAAGGTTCTGTACTCTGACCTGTACTCTATCTATTATACACATCCCCTCTCTTGGAAATAATCAAGAAATACAATCTTAATTACCACCTCTATGCTGATGGCACCCAGCTGTACTTGTCTTTTGATACCAGTGACGTGGATTTGGTTATAGAGCGTATAGTTGCCTGCGTGACTGAGATTTGCCGCTGGATGCAAGATAACGACTTGAAATTGAATCAGGATAAGACCGATGTATCCTTAATTCATTCTAAATTCCGAAATGGAGTCTCGCTTGATCACATTATTCTTGGAAATGAAAATATCTCCATTGCTAAGTCAGTTACCAACCTTGGTATTATATTTGACAACAACAAGACTTTTGATGATCAATTTAAACATATCTGCAAAACCTCGTTCTTTCACCTAAGAAATCTGTTCAGGATACGTTGTTATCTGACTAGTGACTGTGCCTCATAGGTTATACATGCTTTTATTACTTCGCGTATTGACTATTGTAGTCATCTGTACTATGGCTTACCTTGAAGCATCAACTTGATAAAATACAGAAAATACAGAATACAGCTGCTCGATTTGTCACTTGCAAGGGCAAATTTTATCACGTCACTCCCTTACTCAGGTGCAGCTTCACTGGCTTCCTATATCTTATCGTACTGTCTTCAAGCTTCTGTTGCTCGTGTACAAGTCTGTCAATGGTCTCTGTTCATCATGTTTCTGATCTACTCAAGATCAAGTTATCATCAAGATCTTGACTTTCTAGCTCTATGGACTATCTTGTGCAACCTGTGTCAAAGACAAGGACCTACGGGGACAGAGCTTTTTCTGTGTGTGCACCTAAGTTGTGTAACAGTACTCCTTTTTCAATTCGTAAATCTAGCTCCATAACTATATTTTTAAAAAGAACATCACGACTTTTCTCTTTTCAAAATTTGTAACTAGTAATTCTCTTCTGTTTGATTGAATTTATTTAATATGTGCATTAGGTTATTTTATTATTTTATAGTATTGTAAAACGCCACAAGAAGCTTTTGATGAGCACGCTATATAAATATTATTATTATTATTATTATTATACTAAACAGACACTCAGAAACATGGAATCTATTTGCTCAACAAAATGTGATTATCATGATAGTTTGTATCAACATAGTTTTTGAAAGGCAATCAAATGCTCATATAAAAGAAGTATTGCAGTTTGTTGCATTAAATCTACTTGTTTGTCTTCTAAATTCTCCAGTTTATAATGTACATACCTACTAACAGAATTTAGTTCTTAATAAGTAAAATCCTATTTCCTTTAGTGACCTTGGAGGGCGACCCTGAATGCTGGAACAGCAGAATGATGGAATGATGGAATAATGGAATAAAGGAACAGAGGAAAATTACCCCAAATCCTAAAAGAACGAATGGCAGAAAATTATCCTAAATCCTAAAAGACAGAATGGTGGGAAATTATCCCAAATCCTAAAAGATGGCAATATTCTGTAAGGGGAAGGAATTGAAATTAAACACAGATTTCAGGAAGCCTTTTACAAGAGAGAAACGCCACAATGAAAATAATCTTTAAAGACAATATTAGACACTCCCAAGTCCTAATTACACAAAAGGGGCTATCCAAAGGATTTAACAATCCCATGTCACAGTGGTTTTTATTGAGCAACTGGGAAATTAATGTGAAAGCCTAAGCTTCAGGGGATTTATAAAGAGCTAATTCAATAGTTTCAAATAAAAGGGGGGAAATCATTCTAAGGATGCTCATTAGAGAAAAAGGTCTAAAGGTCACTCAGTGGTTGGAAAGTAACCTAACCGCAAAAACATCAAGAGCTGTGTCAGCCTGTCAAGCAACTTAACACCTCCACAACCGCAGGAAATCATCTCAGACAAACTAAGCAGCCATCCAACATCATGGTGTTAAGAATTACTTGCAAAGATATTTTTTTTGGGTATTGATTTAATTTCTGCACAAGTCACACTCATGAGAGGAAAAAAAAGGGCATAGGAAGATCTCACTCACTAACATACATGACCAGAACATGGCAATGATGAAGCAAAGGAAAATACCCTATTGCTCAGGATGTGTGCCCTATCATTTCATCTTTTACTATTTGGGGTGATTTTCCACCATTCTGTCTTTTAGGATTTGAGGTGACTTTCTGCCATTTAATTTTTGGGTAGTTTTCTACCATTCAGTCTTTCACAATTTAAGGTAATCTTTCACCACTCCATCCTTTAGGATTTGGGGTGATTTTGTTCACCATTCCATCACTCTGCTCTTCCAGCTTTCATGGTCACCCACCTTGGAGGACATCAGATCTCACCTTAGTTTGCATTGCATGTTGATTCTCTGACTTGTTTGATTCAGTAGAACTAATTAATGAAGACCCAGTGTGGCCACTTCCCTTAGAACCATCTTTATCTCTCATCTTCAGAACTATTACTTGGTGTTCTAGTCTGCAAACAATTTTTATATGATAAGCTGAATCACACTGTCAAGCACATTGATTGGTTCTTACTAGTGATCTATTAGAGAACAGACTCAATCGTAGACTATGTCACCATTAAAAAATTTTGCCTCTTTATGATAAAAAAAATACTGAGACTGCACGTTGTTGTGAGTGTGTTCAGTAATAGATCAGAGGAGACGTCAGTAAGAACATTGACACAGTCAGCCATGCCTGAATTGTGCCACTTTTTTTGCTCTTACCACAACTCCCTAGTTTAATCAAGAGCCTTACGAAAGCTTTCTCTCTCCAAACATCTAGAGAACTCACTGTTTGCGACTTGCTACTAACATGAAGATGACCTTAATTATTTCAACATAGTAAGCCATACAATTAGTTTTGGGTTAGGGTTTTTTTCACCTTAATTCTTACAACAGAATAGTCAAAATCACTTTTAATAAAAACTGAACATTTGACTTGAAAACATTTTGCTTTGTTTCATGATAGTCATATGCTCATGCGTCACACGCATGAAACACATGGTAATTTTTTCTGCACTCTGCGGTCGCTTTTCTACTGTGATTATATTCACTTCAATAGAGTCCTTTACTGGAACTTCGATCAACTCTTTGATGGCTCCCCCAGTAAAGTAACTCTGCCCTAGCTCTGTGTTTGAACAATCAAAATACAAAGCTAGGGAAAGATAAATATAACATGAGAAGAAAACTGAATGTTGATATCCAAACTGTGATACATAAAGATGTTCCTGTTCATCAGACACTAACTCTGTCTGGTTTGATTAATGACTGCCCAAAAGGTATGTTGAATGTCTATGTTTCACTTATAGCTCCAACATGCATTGTTTCTGAGTAGACCCAGAGAAAATGTCTATGCCTAGTTTCTTAGTGCTCATTTAACAAAAGTTCTATAAAGGTAGATCAGTATAATTAATCACTGTCAGCAGAGAAACCAAACCAAAACCACAAAAATTGATTACGTGCACACTCTATAAACCCTAAATTTAATTTGCTCATATTGTAAGCCTTGTGCATGCTTACACTTGTTGATGCATGAAAAATAGAGTTCATATATTCATTGTTTCTGAGTATATAGCCAGAGAAACTACCTCAGTCTAGCTCTTAGGGAATTTTTGGAAAGGAAAGGAAAGGAAAGAGGCAAAAATTGAGCATGTGTAGGGTTATTAATACACAAATGTTATTAGTAATCCCTAAAATAACCACAAGTGAGCTTCGGCCAGAATGTTGCCTTTTGACCTTTCCTTAACTCACACAGGGTTCTGTGCACTACAACAGATAAATAGCTGTCAAAGGTAAGACATTTTCATTTATTCTGGCTTTGCTATTCCTTTATAACTCTGAAACTTTAATTGCAAGTTTGTTTTGATGCTTGTACCTGTGGTATGATTTTTGTGAATAGTGTTTTGGGTTTTAGGGGAGGATGGTTCAAAGTTCTCTCTTGGTTTCACATTTTGGATCATGTTGGAAGCTTGCAAATAAATTGCTGTAATATTAGTAGCTGTGTTTGGGACAAGATATTTAGATCATTAGCTCCAGCATTCTTTCCCATCTGACATTTTTTTTGGCTGCAAAAAGTAATCAGGGGGAGTTTTCATGAGTAAAGTGTCATGGTCCACAGTTTAAAGTCCAACCATTACCATCATCTGCTGTTTATTGAATAATTACAGCCATCACAGTTACTTAAAATTCAAAATATTCTTTTTGCTGAGAAAAGCTCACCAGTACAGTGGATACTTATATTTACAATAATTTCTGGTCTTCTGAATAGAATACTTGTTACTTGAAATACATTTTGAAGACACATTCAGAATACTTTGAAACATGAACCACAAATTATTAGGGGCAAAAGCTATCACTATTTCTGGCATGTTTTAGGAAAAATAGAAAACAACCTTACTATGAAACCCAATAATGTTTGACAATGGCTCATTTAATGATGCAATTTGATAAAAGTTACAGGAATACATCCACAACAGAACATTGACATCAAACAGAGAATACCAATTCACTCAATTTCAAAACAGAAAACTTTTTGGAGAACTAGTCAGACTCAATTTGCTGCAGTTACCTGTCTGTTCTGTGGTTAACAAGAAAACCTTATAACATCCCTCCTTTTATTTAACCAGATGCAGTCAATGCCAATTTATTATGTCCCATAGAATGAATGAATTAACCTGCAAGTGTTGTATAATTACAGCCCAAAGTTTAGTGTTCTCTTTGATTTGAACAATCGAAGAAAACATTCCCAATCTTCTTTAGGGTTGAAAGATGTAATTCAACCCAGCTGAACTTTTAGAGACAGGGACACTTCTGAAAATACAACCTAAAATATGAGGTGCATTTGAAGAAGAACAAAGTTCACTGGTTGAAGTGAGTCAATGTAACAACTGTCCGACCTGAAAAAAAAAACAGTATAATTTTCTTCCTAGAATGAAATGGAATCCCAAGAATAAATCTGCCTTCAAAGAGAATCAAATAGCCCCTTCATGCAGAGACCTAACTGTTAAAAATTTCTTTTCAATGCTGTTTCAGAAGTAGCATGTAACCCAGTCCCTCCATAGTAATTCTACTAGTATGTGTTCTTTCAGCGGGCTGTTGTTTTCATGTGTGGATTTGTCTCTAAAGCTGATTTCCAAAAAGAATTCAGTTTTCTGCAACATTTACAAAAACACTGTATCAAAGAAAATCATCTGATTACCCCTGTAATTTTAATGTTTTCTTGAAAAACAAAATATGACCATTTCTAATAGCACACCCTGTTATGATTGGAATAAATATTTTTTTTCACTTCTCTCAGTGAAAAATTCCAGATATTAACAAGCAGGAACAATAATCTCATTATTACTGAATTTTGACTAGCATCAAAAAACTGTACTTGGGGTGATGATAGTCTCTCCCTGCAGGATAGCATCTCCTCTGAGCTTATCAGCAGATAAAAAAAATAAAAATAAAAAACTCGAGGTAAGTTTGAAAATTTTAAATGCAAACGAATTGCACTCCAGATTAAAAAAAAAAAAAGATGGAAGAAATCGGAAGAGGTAAGATATCAGCGCAAGCATTCAAGTGTGGAATTCATCAAGACTATGGAGAACAAGTTGGAAAAACAATCCGTTTAGTAAACCTGCACAAACATAAGTAAACAAAGTATATTTTTGACAAAGGGCAATCTTGCCCTCATGATGAGCATGAAAAGAAAAATAAGGTTTAAACTTTTAATCAACGTGGCGGTCATAAGTACGGTCCCTATCGCTGTAATTCACATCCGCCAATCTCGACGATTTTTCACTAAAAGGCGAACTTCTGACCAGCCGTACGTAGCATTTGTAATTTGAGCCAGCGAAGGAAAAATACGTCCGCGTTTAGGTTTACAGATCACCTCGACAAAAAAAAAAGTGTTTCAACAATCAAAAGCCTTTGATCCCACAATGGAGTCTGCTTGTCGGCAAATCGAGGTCACGTACGGAGCAAATGCTTGCAATCTGTCAAATACGACAAACTCAAAACAACATTCTGCGATTCCTATTGTTTGCGAAAGAGAGTAATTTCCCGAAAAATTCCAAAGAGGAACTTCAGAAATACTTCACACGAAACTGTTTATGATGCTGGACGCTATGCAATTGGAACAACAATTTTCACCTCCAGCCAATTTTCCTTTTTAGGGTCAATTTTGATTATGGATATCCAATATTGATGGATGTATACCGCTATCAACGTAAGCATTCCCGTGACCTTTTGTCCCCCAACCTTCGACATCAAAGGATTCCACATACACAAAAGAAACTTACAACTATTAAAAATGTCCCCTTCCCTGAGACGCACTAAATCGTTTGCGTGCATCAAAAATCATGAACGAAGAACCTTCACTTGCGCTTTCAATAAGGTCTCAGTACACTTCCACAAAGGAATTTTGTTAAACAACAGCTCTGGAACAAAACACAAATTAATTGCCCAGTTGACGAGATAAAACACTAAAATCACAACACCGATCTAAGTGCTGTGACAATGGCGAGTAGAGACTTATTGTTCTTTCACAAAAGAGAGTGGAACGACTTTTTAATCGAAAATTAACTTAGGCCTTTCTTGCCCAAACTGCAGCTTTCATTTGCAGGGAATCGTCGAAGTAGATAGAAGTTATTGCCACAACCTCACTTTGAATAAACATCGAGTTAATTATATGTTTATGAGGAACTAATAACCTCTTGACGATTTCTTCTTTGCAAATACTATCTACTTTCCCTCTAGTTCCTCAGGAAATACAGTATAATTCCCTTCGTAATCGTTAAACAAGACTTGCTACGGGAATTTCAGCCGTGTCGGAACAGAAACTCTACGTTTAAATTAGAAGAAGATAGCAAGTTGAAATGTAGTTTGCACATTTTGAGCTCACTGATGTGTAATGCTTTCCACAAAATGTGCAGAAACCCATCGATGCTCAAGGGTTTTTGTAAGATTAATGGCAAAACCAAGAAGCCCTTAAAAAACTTTGAAAAATTCTCATGCCAACTAAAACATAATGCAAATGACCCTACCTGCTGATGTCGTCCAAAAGTTTAGCGACTTCCGTACAAAGGGAAATTGCTCCCTTCATCTTGCGCTTTTTCGCTGTTGCGTTCAACACAATTTCCACAGCCTGTCTTACAGTTTCTCTGTTCCCTTTGAAGTGCTGAGTAGCGTTTCCTTTAACAAAAAAATAATTTCACAGATGAAGTTTTTCTAAAGCTTTGTGACTCAGTCGATATTTATCTGATTTCCGCCCACAAGTTTGCTTAACAGCCGTCGTATTAATAATCTCGCTCACCTACTAAACTTTGCTCGTCAACTGAGAAGGACATGTCATCGTTTGGAGAATCATAATTCGCAAACTTCGGATTAGAGAGAGGACAATCTGTGCGATGAATCCTCCTTGAATTTCTTCGCGAATAACCACTGCCTCCGCTTTCACTGCTCGTGGAATCAGTCATGTCACCAGCATTTACCTTTTGTTAGTCGCTTGCCAAATTCAGTACGTGACTTTTCAAAGGCTTGTCATTCGAGACGTGCGTATTCATAACAGGTTTAACACAAAATCCTCACGATATTGCTACAAGAAGTTTTGTCAACAATCATGTATCACCTAAGGAAAAAAGCGAAGGAACTTATTATTACTGTAATGATCGTTTCCTAATGCGAATCTTAAACTGCACCCTGCACACTTTCGAGTCAATATTTTTTACGGGGGGGCTCTAATTTGGAGAACAATACTGCATGAGCCCGCGGTACAAACCGTAACCTTTACTCGTTCGCTCGTCCTGCAGGAAACTGAAATGGCGGGTAAGTTGTGAAAAATCTAGATATTCAAAGCGTAAAACTAAATTTTGCATAACTTTGTTTAAAGGACTTGTTCCTAATCAATTAGAGAGTGTATTCTAGAAAAGCGTGTAAAAAAAAAACTGCCGTTTTATCTCCAACTTTGCAGATGAATTCAAGCTTATGTCCAGTGGTATGGCTTGTGATTATTGGAATCAATATTTTCATTCAATTTGGTGATCAATAAACGTTTTATAAATAGAGTTCAGTATATTTAATGTATTTTTGCAAAGAAACTAAATCAATACGATAAATATAAATCTTGTTTGCGGTGTAATTACTAATTTATTTAGTTCATAATCTGGGCCAGGCGCACATTAACGAAAGGCTTCTATCAAACGTGGGTCTCATCAAATGGAATTTATGTATTCGAGGATTTTTTAATGCCATCGTAGAGGTGATAGAGAAAAAACAAGTTCTGGACAATTTTAATTCGATCTGGATTGTACATTGGTAGTCCTTAAAAGTTTACCTATCTGTGTAGTTAAAGTGAAGATAAGTATTTTAACATTGAAATGTATTTGGAGTGATGAAAGAGATAATCTTTATACAATTTGATGTCAAAAGTACCTTGGCGGAAAATTATAGAAGTATTGGTTCTTGAACTAAAGTGATCAATGTTAAGTTTCTCCCTACATTATTATACAATGTGTTCTATTGTAAATGTGCAAATGGTTGCAATGTATTCATGGAAATTTCTATCATTTGTCAAGGTATTTGGAAATTACTTAAAATGGAAATCTCAGTAGATCACTTTGTCACAAGTTGAACAGAAAATAGCTGATTTTCAAATAACTGATTAAGTTTCTGATTAGTTGATATTATGCATCATAAATGATCAATCCTACAAATCACATTTGATGTACTTACAATGCTTGCAGTGATTAAGATACAAAGCAGAGCATGGCATCCCTTTGGTGGGAGGTTAATGAGGTTATGGTAATATTTTAGGAGTGAATGATGAACACCACAAATCAGATTTGATGTACTTGTATGGTTGCTGTGACTAAGATACAAATCAAAGCATAGTTTAGGTTTAGATGAATGGTTAATGAGGTTTCGGTGTAGTTTAGGGGTGAATGATCAATCCCAAAAATCGCATCTGAAGTACTTTTAATGCTTGCAGTAATTGAAATACAAATCAAAGCTTGGCATCGCTTTAGGTAGGTGGTTATGAGGTTTTGGTAGTATTTTAGGGGTTACAAAATCACAGAAAACTAAAGTGACGGCAATTTGTTAATGAACAATAACAAATACTTGCCTCAAAATTCACCAGGGTTAAACCAAAACTTGCCGTAAAATATCAATTCCGTTTGTGCTAAAGGTTATGAATAAATCAAAGAATTGCTTACAGTTAAGATCTTACGTAAACCGAGGAACTTTGTTAAAAATGAGTGCTAAACTTGCCTTTTCTAAGTGTGGGGTGATGCAAAAATGACACTAAGGGGTCTAATTTTGAGAACAATAGAAAGATAAAAAAAAAAAAACAGATAAACATAGCAATCAAGATCAAACGGAGCGTGAATTTGCATGATCAAAGTGATTGATAATCAACATAGTCAAAAATAGGTCCTTTGGCTTAAGTATCCCTAACATTGCTTGTAGGGGGCAAATAAGAATTTTAATTGCAGCTCTAACATCTGCATTGCAACCGGATACTTCTTTTTAAGCATAAGATCTTATAGCCCTAATGTTCCGAAGGAAAAGAGGATTTTTGTATCCCAAGTACATCCATGGGAGAGGCATGTGAAGAACCCATTTCTTACTTGAGCCCTGTAATCTTGTTAAGAGGTTTGTATATTTGTCTATGCAGCAATTTGTTAGTTTGCTTCGCCATTTGAACCTATTGTAACAGATCTCTAAGAAACAGACTGAATGATATTCTTAATGGATTAGGAATGAAATGTTTTGACACTTCCTTGGCACAGTTTTACATTACAGTTGGGAATTTACTCTTAATTCATGCCTGCTAACTTGAAAATTTCAAGACTTTTACAACTTTCATTAATCTAGATGTGTCATATAAGAATGAAAATGATAAAATTTGATTTATCTACAACAGTTGATTAGAGTTTATGTGGTCTTTTTTTTTTTTTCCATTTGGTTCTTGGAGTTGCAAAATGTCCATAAGGTCACCAGTTATCGGCACCAACATGTTTATGATTTATGTTTTTTTTTCTGTTGCCCTTTAACCTCTCGATTTCACTTCAAACTTAGATCTTTGTAACTAATCCACTAGAAACAGGAGGACAGTGACTTAACAGATTGTAGTAATTACCTCTAATGCGTCAAATAGGTGTGACTAGGATCAAATGATGCCAATTCTTTAAAATATGTTAAATGCCATTAAATTGAATGCTTGTTGCTGAGTGATAAGGGGCAAATTTGGAACATTTTCCTTCCGATTTTTGATGAGTCAGAAATAATGTAGTCAAGTAAAGCAATGATCTTCACAGGAGAGGAGCAATTTAACAAATGCAGAAAAGGAACCAGAAAAAATTTAGGCTTTTACAGGATTCAAACTCAATCTCCTTCCCCCTCTCCCCAGATACTGAGTTAAAAAGCCACCTACCAGCCCCATGGAGGAAATTCATTTCATTGAAAACTATGATCAGGAAAATGTTTTACCAACCAGACTTGTTTCATTTGTTAGATTCAGTTAATTTATCAAAATCAGCTTTAAAGAACAAGAAAAGGGCAGAGAAGCGATCAAAAGCTAGGATAGAGCAGATAAAAGAAAATGGTGGCATTCTGGAAGCAATGCAAATGAAGGATCCTGTTGATCGTTTGAGGGAGCAATTTCAGGAAGCAAAGAACAACAAGGTATGAAATATGAAAACATCCTGATGTACCCAAGGTTGTCAGAAAAGGGTTTTGAGTAATTGGAGGTTGATACAACGTAGGAGGCAGTTGAGGTTGAAGGCCCCTCTGCACACAAGGGCTCTGGGAGCCACCAAAATTCGGAGTAGCTTGTGCATTTTTCAGAGTAGACAGTGATGTGTCCTGGTTGCTGACGTATTTGACAACTCTGTGTACCCATTCTCTTTAACAATATTCTTGGAAATATTGTTGGTGCAGAAAAAAAAAATTTACCATTCAAGTGTTCATCATCTCTTGCAAGCAAGTACACATTCTTGCACATTTTGGACCAATAAACTATCAATAACAAAGAAAATAATTCATTCTTTGGTTATCACAGCACCAAATCACACGAGAGCTGATTCCCCATGACTTCTGATACAACTAAAACATGCTGTCTTAGCAAGGTAAAGCTCATGCCTGAAGTAAATTTGAAGGGGTGAGAAGAAAGTGCTAAAGTATGTTAGAAAATTAACACTGATTAGCAGGACAAAACGATAGTCAAAGTTAGAGCTGTTGTGATAATACATTATGTTCTTCAACACACTACAATGACCAAAGAATTCCCAATCCTTTTATAGCATAGAATCTTCACTGTATATGGCTTTAGTGGTGCACTGATAAGGGATGAAACACTTTTTCAAATATTTTGTTGTGAACTAGCCAATGAACCTTTAAGGAACTACGGTGTAAACATGGAAGGGATCCAACATAACTCTTGTGATCCACTTAACATAACAGGACCTAGCAACTAAAAAACAAAAACCAGTAGAGCACAAATATGTGTCACCTTTCAACTTTTGTTGGAGGCTAAAGGAGACTTTGTGCAGGTCATGTGATTGATTTGATCTCTTGACTTAAAACACATGTAAAAATCCCCCCTACAGTTTGGGGACAAGTCTTCTCCCTTGAAACTTCTGTATGACGCATATGTTTCATGAAAGTTATCAAATGTATGAATTCATAAAGTGGCCACATGAATGCTTGGTGAACACTGCATGTACTTGTAAAACTGGCTCCTTTAAATGTTGGTGAAAATAGTTTAACCAGTGATCTGAGGGCCTGCAGCTTACACAACATTGACCAATAAATTTGCTCCTTCCGATTTACTCTTGTGGGTCCAAAAGTGAAGGATTTGAATTAAATTTTGAAATGACCTTGGATTGATTGGACAGAGTAGTTCTTGGTTCCTTTTTGATAAAGTTAAAGTCTGTTGACCTTTGTTATCTCACGGTAAATTTTATGGAAACACGGAATGCTTGAACCTATTTGTAATCTCTTGCATTGGGAGTTTATTTTCTTTTAAAGCTAGCAATGTTTTCAAGAAAAATCTGATGCAAAGCTTCAGTTTAATTTATTCAGGAAGAGTAACTGAATATTTTGTTCATCGTAAGATTTGATTAAAGCCAGTACAGTCGTAAACACTTTGGTGATTATCAACTACCACAGTTTTATAGAGGTGTTTGTTTGCAGTCTAAAAAGCCAAGAATTATAATACATCATACTTCAGATTAAAATAGAATTGTTCTGTAGACAACTTTTCCTTGAAAGGAAAAATCTTAAGGTGTATCCAAAGACCACGTAGCTTGGTTGAAATCTAAATTAGAAAAACTTGGGTTCAAGAAATCTGCAAAGGCGGGTTCTTTTTTTATTTTGTAATCGGGCTGCTAATTCTTTGCACAGAAACTCGGCTGAAAACCTCAGCATCTGGAGGGAAAACTGTTCTTAACATTAATATTGAAACCAGAACTGACATGACTGTATCATGTTTTACTTACATAGGATCATAAACTTGCAGCCAGGTTACGTCAACAGTTGTGGATAGCCCAAGACAGTGCCGCTGGTGTCAGGTGAGTTCTGAATGAATACTTCAATCAAAAGTGTTGATTTCATACTGTGATCATACATGAACAACTGCACGCACACGTATACACTTTCTACGGCATCACTCGTGTTTGAACCAGATGTTGTCAGATAGATACTCACGTTACACTTGCAATGATTGACGGGTTCATATTTCATTTTCACTTGGTTTTGAAAGGATCGAGCGATTTTTGAACGCCGCGATCTAGTCTGCCCGCTTGGTTTTTAGCATGCAACCACCCCTTATCCGAACCCTACCAACTTCCAAAATGAAGTGACGGCTTACGAAGGTTGGGGTATTCAGTACCAATGATGCTTTTGTATTTAATGAAAAAGTCGTGCTTTGGGAAATTTTTGTGAAAAAATTCTCGCGGAATTCTTCAGACCGTTGACACTTGTAGACTGACATTGTCGATGGGACAAAGGGCATTTTATTTTCGCGGCCCACGGGAATGGAATGGTCTACCTGACAACATTAGGAATACTAAAGATATTGATATTTTTAAGCGGAAACTTTTTAACAATATGTTCTATATGTAGTAAATTTGGATATACTTTGAATGATTTTAAAGACATTTTATTTTAATTAAATTACAGTAAATAAGTTAGTTAACATTGTGACCGAAAAGCCCTGTTGAAGGGAGTCTCAATAAAGTATATATGTATGTATGTATGCATTGCTTCTATTAATAAAGAAGGACGGGCGGGCCTGTTTGCGTGAGCAGTTTGCTTTAATAGTTAATGCCAGATTGATCTGAACTGGGCCCAAAAACGTAATGTAATTACATTTCGTTCTCCAGTAAGTTCTCGGTCAGTATTAGATGTCACCTCGCACAATGCAGACATACTTTTCTCCTAAGATTCATTCAAAGGATAGCATTTTCCAAAACATGAAATCTTTAATTGCATTAAGTGTATGTATGTTACGTTTGTCTCAAGTACTTTTCGTTTCCTATCCTTCTACGTGAAGGTATGCGTTGTCTAGAACTTTATTTAAAGCCAACCGGGGGTAGTTTTTACATCTCAGCTGGAGGTATCTATCTATCTATAGTCACGAACAAGTCTAGCCATTCACCACACGAAAAAACGGGAAAAAGATAGATGAAGTGGCAAAGGAATCTCGAAATTTTGCTCCAATTGTTTTGCTCCAATTGTTTTGCTCCACTTTGGTAGGTTATGCCTGGCTCCTCAATGTTGAAAATGTATAAAGCGGTTGAAAACGATATATAAAAAATAAAAGAACAAACAAACAAAGTATGCGGCATTCAAATGATTTATGTCTGATATAACTTTTAACTATTTTTGTTTCAAGTTTTGAGTATATCCGGCTTCCAACATGCAACCATTCACGCTCCTACCCGAGCGGACTTCGTGTCCACTTTGTTGTTTTCTGTGTTGGTCTGTCATTATCGCTTTGCGTCTTCGTCTGCTCAGTACGTGCTCTGGTTGAGTCAGTTGCCTTTCTTAATTTACCAGATGTTATCAATATTTGATCTTTCATTAGGCAGATAATGCTCGCACTTCAATCGGTCAAAGTTCAAAGTTAATGTTTGTCTCTGCAGCGTTTGAACGAAAGCGAGCAGTGCGCTGAATTTTGGCAGATACACTATGTTGCTTTTGTGTTGCATTCACTCTTCATCCAGCTAATGGTTTTGGCGTTTAAAGAACTTTGTTGTTTTTCTTTTCGTTTGACCTAGAATCTTCGTTCATACGATCAGCGTGCCTAAAAAGGTTATCTCGGCAGCTGATATCATGACCTACGTACGTGGGAGTAATGAGTTTATCTTTGGAAAGATCGCTCCGAACGAGATGTAAAAAAAAACCTCCCTCTTGACGGTGCGGTTCACAGTTGTCTTAGATTCCCTTCAGCGTGCAACTTTATTCAAAATTTCAGTGTCTTTTTTTTCAACTGCAGCTTGATGCAAATATTTTTTTGCCAGATGATTGTTTGATTGACATAAACACGTGGTTCAATTCTTTGAGAATTAGGAATGAGCCTAGTTAAGCAAAGTGCACTGAGACGTCGTTGGCGAAATAGTTTTAAGGTGTTCATCAAACATTGTCTTCTTGCAGACAGAAAGCGTTGGAAATGATAACTAAACTCACGAGCAGTAACGGGGTTTTTACGTTTTACCAAAGCTCAATACACCAAGGCATTTAAGAAATGTTCTTCCAAGACCAATTAATGTTTGACTTGTGGTTTATTAGTTATCTTAGTTCTCCGTACGTGACCGGCCCAACCACAGACACAAAATAAAAAGTTTAAAATTAAAACAAAACTTTTTTTTTTTTTCGGGCACGGGCTGGGGTGGTTTGGGCTGGGTGTCTGTCTTCATCTAAATGACATGCATAGGCTTAGAATTTTGAAAATGTTTCCTTACTCGCGACAAGACGATAGATTTTAATCCCTGCTTGATTGTGTGATTTACTTTAAAATATTTTGGAATAGGGTGTGTTTTTCACAGATGAACAATCTAAACTTGCTTGTTGTACAGGTAATTATTAGGGACTTTAGGCAAACCACGAAGGCGACGGCAACGAGGACATGGCAAAACAAGACTTTCAATAAACAGAACAATAGCTAAGCACGTGCGTTTTCAAACTTTGTACATTTCTTAGCCGTCCTCTGCAAAACAGCAACGCGAAATCACCAGATTAGCGTGGTTTGAAAACGGAAACTCCGACGGCAAAATGATATGTAAGTTTCCATTTGGAACGTAAGGCTGCTCACATCATTTATGTTGAAATTGAGGTATGGCAAAGTGAGAGACGGTAAACACATCCAGCCATTTGCCAAATTCTAACAAAAGTTGTATTGTAAATTTAATTTTTCAACCGACGTCTTCCTCAGCGTTGCCGTCCAGACTGCCTTAAGTCCCCAATGAGTAGAACACAATATCGTGCTTATCCCCCTTAATTTAAAAATATTTAAAATATTACAATCCCGTAAATCACACAGATGTTGTTTTCTGGTTCGCCCTCAATTTGTTTCGTTGGCACCAAATTCAACACGAATCCAACATAAGTTTGAAACAACTTTACATTCATAGAAGTCAGCGCTCGTAACTTCAAATAAACCTACCTAAAAATATCTTTATTGGAGAGAACTCCTTTGTATATTAGCGCTAGGGAACCTAGTTGTATGAATTTTTTTTCTTTGCAAAATTTTCGATAAATTCGAAAGTAATGTTTGGTAAGCAGCAACAGCGAACAACCCAAGGAGAACATTTCTATAAGTAATATGGGCACATCTCTCTCCCTCAACAAATATTGCACAAGTCACAAATAGAAGGGTTAAAAATATATTGCATCAGTAGCTTGTGTTTTCGCTGGACTGTTGAACTATTTATAATGTTTCTTAGAGTTGTAAGTTATTCACGAATCATTGTGGTAGCATTTACATGGCGATAACCAAAACAAGGTAGTGAGGAAAATTTAGAAAACCTAAATCTGGGACAAAGAACATGACATCTTAGAAAGATGAGTTTTGTGGGGTGAACTTAAATTGAAACATAATGGGAGAACGAAAACAAATGTGAAACTTACCTGTGTGTAGCTCGGGCAGTTCTGAGCACGTTTTCGTTCAAAAGTTGTTTTAAACGAGACTTGTCACAAGGAAATACGTTGATCCGGAAATCAGATTTTTGTCGTCACAAATGACAAAGCTATCAAATTCCGTTTATGTGTGCAATTACGTGGCTGGATAGTACCGCTCACACGGGGTGGGGTGGGGAAGGAAGATGCCACTATGAAATTGAACAGGACATTCATTTATCAGCTAAGTAGTCTTTTCAGACTGGAGAGATATTTGTGCCGTTACAATTTGTTTTGAAATTGATGGTCTAACACACCGCAATAAATCTTTCAGTTTTCCTGAACAAATAATTGTTAGAATTGCGCATTTTGTTTTACGTCAGTGATTATTTTAGACTGAGCACGTGTTCGGTATTACACGATTTGAGATTTCGTTCACGTGACATTTACTGCATCGCGTGCTGAAAGGTTAGAAATTTGCAACACTCCTGCACGCAATGAAATCATCAGGAAATTAACTAAACCGCGTTGACGGCAGGGATGCAATACGACAAACTAATGATACACATTTCCAAACTCTGTTTTCAAGAGAACCCAAATGAAAAGAAGGCGGCGTGTGCCTGTTTGATCCCGCAGATTGATTTTATTTACAGTGGTTTCACCCATTGCAAGTTATTTACCACCTACCACGTTTGCGAGTCAACCCCTACTACGCAAAACAACTTTGCGTTCACTTATAACAGTCCGCACCCAAATATTTCGACGAGTTTTCTTACCACAGAAGGTATGATTTCCTGTCGAAATCATGACAAGTTTCGACCAACATGTAACTTCGCTGTGAAAACGATAAAGTTCAATCAACATGCAAATTCTTAGCCGTGTTAATTGACGCACTATAAGAAACGAATTGGATGATTTGGGTCGCAACCCGTTTTACGTTAGGGGGCGCATTCGTAAAGGTGGTTGGGAGAGAACTTGCAAAGGGGTGAAACCTCCAGATGTCACTGAGACTAGTTGGTTGAATAGACCATTTCCGAATTAACCTTGGCCTCATTTTCAAAACGAGTCCTCGTGCTCATCCTTTCATATGATTATAAGTTTTCATTCACAAGCAAATTAAACTCAATTTCACAAGAATGGTTGAGCACCAGGCCTTGTTTTGAAAATGTGGCCAAGGGTAATTCGGAGGTGGGCTACTATTTCAGGCGAAAGGTATGATTTTCCCTCAAAGTCCAACCCTTTTTTTTTAATGTTTTAGCTTGGAGGAGGTTGAGATGCTAGGAGCTGATACTTCATCGTGCTCTGAAACAAAATTTGTCCAAGAAACAAAATCGGACTCTGAATCACCGCCACAAGTCTCACAAGCTAGCGGTCTTACCCCCTCAGAGAAAAGACTACGAACTCTGAAGAAAAAACTCCAGCAAATAGAATCAATAAAAGAAAAAAGAGAAAAGGGAGAGGTTTTAGAGACAACGCAGGTTAGTTGTTCGTCGTCAGTTCATCGGATTTTTTCTATATGAACGGATTATGGTGAAACCAAATTCAGATTAAGAACCAGTGATAATTTATTGCCGGGGGGCATGGATAGTATTAGAGAGCTTTATGGGATATCATGTAAATTTTATTGTGGCACAACCAAAATCCTACGATCTATCCCCCCCCCCCCCCCCCCTCAGTGAGTCGTCTGTTCGAGTCAGTTCTTTTTTAAAACTGTTTCCTTTGTTTTACAGCTGGACAAGATCGCAAAAGAACAAGAAATTCTTGATGAACTCAGAGAAATTGAGTCACTTTTGACAGGTAGCTAGTGAAACTCGCATAGCTATCTATAGACTTTGAATTGATATTAAATTGATTATTAAATTGATAATTCCATCAACTCGTACTAGTGTTTCATGGGTGATTTTTGCGGCTGGGGAACTCTCTTTTTCTACGTTTCTTCAACCGCCGTGGTTTTCATAAACTAAGAATTTTTATCGACCATCACTTGTGTCCTTTTGACGCAAAAACTTCTCGAGTTATGTTTTGTTTTTTGGGGGGGACTGGGTCTTCTCGAGATAGGGTTTTTTTGGGGGAAGGGAGTGTGGAGGGCAGTTGTAGCGTTGCGGGGGATAATTGTGCTAAACCGTAACTAAAGTTCACTCGCGCATCAAGCGAGGCCTATGGAAGAATCGTAAGTGATCAGATGATAAAATTAATACACGAGCAGAAAAACAAACAGATCTCAGATGAACTCTGCAAGGGTTTTTAAATGTCCTCTTATTTCGGTTGAATCAAATACTAAAAACTAGTCGAGTTCAATACTGTTTACGTGTAACCTACACTAAAAATAAACTCTAAGTAGATTAGTAGAAGAAGCAACACTTTTAAAAGCTGTATCAGTCATGTTTGTCTATTGCCTCTTTGTTGTCGCGTGCGATTGTCGGAGATGCAGAGAAGCTTTGGTTGTCTTTTGTCCTGTAAAGTGTCTTACAGTAAAGGAAACAGCAATTATTTTTTAATCAATCAGTTTGGCTTCCGAAAGTGAGGGTACCATTGTACAGAATTGTTGAAGTCCATTGACAGTGATTTTTATCGTAAAGGTCCTTTTTTTCTTTTCTAGCCTTCGACTCCTTTACTTTTATTTTTGTGAAGTGTTTATTAAACTTGACTTCGCCTTCTAGTCTGTTGGAGACAAAAGCAGGAAGCATAAAACCACAATTGCCTGTTCCTTAATCTTGTTCTCCGAAATCTTCACTTTGTGATGCGAGGGTTTTTTTCAGTTTACTTTTCATGGAAGACTCATGTAGTTGTGCTAAAAGTTCAGCGTTCTGCCAGTAGCCGGGTCTTCAGAACAACTATTTTATAGTTGTTCTGAAAAACATAACACCCGCAAATATTTTGCGATTTGTAGATCACAACGACGAAGAATATGTCTGCGCAAGTTAGATTTTAAACCATTTTGGCTTCAAGTTTTTGAAACACATTTTTCACAAGGTGCATGAAAAAGCCAGAAACAACACAATCCAAACCATTAAATTGTCCAAAAATATATGTTTGAGTTAGAGTGCGGCGCTTAGTAAGTCAGACGGCGCCTAAAGGACATCATTCAAGTCAAAGATCGTTTACTAAGTTTGGCCATTTTGTTTCTTCGCTTACCTTCTGTGTTTTTTCCCTGTTCTACAGTGTATCATTGGCTTATCTATTGCGTGTTCTTCTTTCCTGATATGGCAATATGGCGCATCAGTGGAATAATAATAATAATGAAAACAATTCATTACTCATAAGCGCATTGTTACCTTGTTCTATAATCTTATTATTTAGCAGCCTTGCCGTATTGTGTCACGTCCAGTGAAGATTCAAGAAATACCTTTCGCGGGGATTACACGTTCTGCGTGCAGTTAAAAGTCGGCTCTTTCACATAACGAATAGTACATACCCATAAGTCAATGATGGACAATATTTCATCAGAAACTCGTATTACCAATCTATTGATACCCTAGAATAAAGGCTGATAGTTTCGAAAGAAACTGTTTGGGGCTGCGTAGGTGGGAGTAACAAAATAATTTGGATATATCAACAAAGTTGAAGTGGTAAATTGGCCACCGTAACGATTACAAAAGCTGACGTTTCGAGCGTTAGCCCTTCGTCGCTCCGACGAAGGGCTAACGCTCGAAACGTCAGCTTTTGTAATCGTTACGGTGGCCAATTTACCACTTCAACTTTGTTGATATATCCAAATTATATTGATACCCTAGTGCATGAATTTCCAACGAATCCTCTCCCTCAAATGTTCTAACGTAGTTGAGGACGGGATTAGTTTGGCTGACTGAGGAGCTGAAAGAGGGCTTCAGTTTGATACCCAGCGATATACACACAACCATATGCACTGGTGAATAACCCTTTGGCCTGCTAATATAATATTAGGACTCAATACTTGAACGTAACAACATAAATGGGAATTAGGAGTAAAAAAAATCTTTGGAAACACGCTTGTTCACTCTAAAAAGTGGCCAAGACATTGGGCCCGGCCGACTGGCCTGCGCTAGTCTACCAGGCGAAAGCACAGTGCTTTAATGACTCGGGTTTAGACATAAACTGCAATGATACAACACTCAAATGCGTCTCCCTGACAAGAGCCAGACATCCGACGACACCGAGCTCCGTCTACAATTCTTTGGCTATTAAGCGGCAAGCCCGCAAAAAAAAAAAAATTCACGTTATCAGCCTGTGCAATTTTAAAAATAAAAGTGAAACGGAGAGGGCACCTACCACTGAACTTCGCTGGGAGGAGCTTGACCGAAGAAGGGTTCACCTGTCGGTGGAAATGCTGGAAGTGGACGGACTTGGAAGTCATTTGATCTGATGTTTTTTTGTGAATGTTGATGTCGCAATGTCAAGAGTCAGTGTAAACTATTGGATAACCGTTGACCAATCAAAGACGCAAAGGATAGTTAAGCCTCTCAGTAACATCACCTTTATTTGAAAGGGTCAAAGCAAAAGGAAAAAAAAATACAAAATCGATGGGATAATATTACATGCCAACCGACCGGAAAGGTCGCCGAACTGTTTAAAGTCTTCAAACAGGAATAAAATGTTATAAAAGGTTGGGCTCTGGCAACTGCTTGTCAAGAAGTTCACAAATTACAAGCAATCCAGTGAAAATCACCCTCTTTGAATCGTCACTGCTTGCTGAAGAAATAATCAAACAAGCTAAAGATATCTTCGTAAGCATGGGTGGAAAACACTGGCATCAAAAATAAATCAGAGCTATAGGCACACAAATTTATTGTAGCATCGAAAGGGGAATGTGCATTAAGGTTCAGCAATGACAAGTAAACCGCAATGATTAATCCTTTTCATTGGCGGCTGGTCCCCAACCGGCATGAAAGATGTAGACAATCATATTATCTAGTCTAACCAAGACTAATCCGGAAGGGCGTTTGTCACTGAACTTGTAACATAATTAACTTTTCTCCCCCCCAAAAAAGTTTGTGTCCGAAACATCAAACTTTCTAATGTTGCTTAAAATAGTGAGCAGTTCAAGCGGAAATATCATTAACTATTGATTAATTTGACGTCTCTTGACGTACATAACAAGTTATAAGTCTTTGCATACGAAAATTCCATAAAAATTCAAAATCATGTATAAGAACAAAAGGTGAACTTTAGATGCCGGCTGTGGCGATGTTTATTTTGCAGTCTACGGAGTTGTTTCTTTGCGTCAAATAATACCGGCTTTCGTGAAACGAGCGGGAGTCTTATAGATGAGGTGTTTGTCTGTTGACAGAACATGAAATGTGGGGTTTGAACTCTGCCAAGTCTCCTCCATGCGCGCATATCACGTGAGTTCTGTGAGGCAGAAGGAGAAAGAGAAAAACTCTCTTCTTAACCATCTCACCTTGTGCTTCCATGCCGTACACGTCAGTCACGTGCGTTTAGAAGAGGATTGCAGATGAGTGTGAGGTTAGGTACTAATATATTTCACTAACATATAACTTAACATATAAAGCACTTGGACATATACGAGATAAGCCCTCTTAAGAAAAAAAATAGGAAAGTCGAAAATTCTACAAAGCGGTTTTTTTGTTCGCGTGAATATGTTTGCGACACTGGTCTTTTAAATTTTTAAGTGTAAGACGTTTTGGTGTTCAACGTCTGACTTGAAAAGCTAATCAGTGTATATAAACAAGAATTACAATCCTGCAAATGTTTTCGCTCGAGGGCGGGTGATTTTTCGCACCGTGATTAAATATGCTCTAGCTAACACAGGGAAATATACCTCAGGTGATATTCCTCAGCATTAAGAGATTGAATCCATCGAGAAAAAGGTGATCCTTCAAAACTTGATTAAAGCTGGACGAGATTTTGTTGCTCAAGAATAACAGTCGCTTATTTGTCTATAGAGCTGATATGAAAACTAGTGTTTGTGCGCTGCGAAAAGTTATTTAAAGAGTAACAAACACAATAGCCTACACTCGCCTTCCCAATATGCTCAAACGTTTGTTCTTGGATATTCTCTATTCCTCTAAGTTCACAGTTTTCTTCGAGTTTTGCTCTTGGGAAATTGTTCGCGGGGCGGTCCGCGGACGAATTTCAACGAATATTTTCGCGCCATCTTGATGCTATTGTTTTCATACGCACCAATGCAACAAGCCAATCGTTTAAAAGATTCCCTTCTAGTGAATTATAATTTAAACCTAATCTTCAAGTAATTCTATAGGTAGAGATAAATACAGACCAGTGGCGTGGTTCTTTCAAGTAAAACGAACGGAATGTACTATGTGTGGTTAAATAATTGTCCACTGACATCAAGAAACAAAACCATGTAATAAAAAAGGCGAAGCTGATATGTAGTTGAAAGTCCCTTGGGCTGGCCTCTGAGTCAGACAGATTTCGTCATCTTTCGTGTTTTCTTTTGTTATACCACGGGTCTGAAAAACATTGGAAACTTAGGAAATAACAACGGTATCAACAAACACACCTGTTAAGCGTCTCACCATACTCAGCTCTTGTAACTTTCTTCGCGTTTTCGCACAACAAAGTTATTGATTTATCACTAACCTGTCTCTTCACATTGTCGACCAGTGAATCCAAAGGAACATGCGCAGACACCTGGGCGAAAGCATTGGCCCCCGTTCAAACATGGCCGATTACAAATAGCTGCCAATTTGAAGGATAAAAACGTCAGCCCTGTAGCTGGCTCAAACCAGCTAATGTCAGATTGCTTCTCAGTTATCAGATTCTGTACCTTTTTCACACATGACGCCAGTGTATCCAGAGGGACAGGTACATTGGTTTGGACGAGCACACCTGGGGATAACAAAGAATATCCTTTGTTCACCTCGATAAAATTGAATGTAACTCAGTCTGTGGCTTTTGTTTACGTGAGAGGCGGCTGAGAGGAACTGGTATGCCGGCATAGCTGTCTTTCCATTTAAAGGGGAACTGAAGCCTAGAATTGGTATATTGTTTGCATTCATTTCTAGTTAGCTTTAGAGGAGTAAGATAAAGTGTCGATAATCATTTTCG